ACATTTATATAATCTTTTCAAATATTGTCACCAACAAACTTTTAAATATTTTTGTATCTATTGAGATAATAAAATAATTTTCACTTTTAGTAATACGCTTAAGAAGTATCGGGTTTTCGCAACGCACGCGCCATCTGGTGGACTTCAAAAGCATTGAGTGAATTTCAGAATTGTCAACAATACATTTAAAGAATACGAACGGTACTTCATTTTTAAATAAATAGGTAGTTTTTTAACAAAAGAGAGGAAGGCAGAAGTCTTACACGACAATTTTTGTTCAATTGCACAGCTAAATCGCGCACGTTATTTGTGTTTTAAGTTGCAAGGAAAAAACTAAAAAACTGGTTTAATACTCGATTTCGATTGATTATTCTTTATATTATTGATTAAGAAACTCAACGCTTAAATGCTTAGGTATATAGTTACGTTAGTGTGTGTATTTTATCTAAGGGATCATGGTGAATTATTGGTGTTTTTAATTGTAAATAAAATTCAAGAACTAAATCGTTGCATTTTCATGTTTTGCCAAAGAATCCAATTCGGTAAGTACATTTGTTGGTGCAGAATTAACTAATGATAACTTTATCTAATATAATTTATATTTAAGTTTGTACATTTTTAAGAAATTAGAAAAAAATAATTTTTGCACAAACATATCCTTAAAATCAACCATTTTTATATTTGAGTTCTCTAAGAGTGGAGGCTTTAAAGAATTCTTAATCAACGCTTTTAATAATGCTAAATGCTGTTTAAATTTGATTTATTTCCTTGGCGATTATTACTGAATTGAAATGTTTACACTTTTCACGTTAATCATTACTAAAATGTGTATTTATTCTATTAAATAGAATAAATTTTAATAGTTACAATTTGTATTTACAGGGACTGTAAGTTTTTTTTATACAAGTTTTTGTAGCTTATGGTTGAGATTTGAGTATATGTATATGACCCTACAAATTATTTAATCTAAAATTTACAGTTCACAGTTGTTTGTTACATATCAAGATATACGAGGCCAATAAACAATTTACATAACAACCATATATGTACGTATGTAAACAATCCGGTAAGCAAAACTTTCTTTGCGATCCCATTAATTGTTTCTACCACATTTTTTCTTTAAATTAAACTGCAGTACAGATGTTAACGGGGAAAATGAATGGTGGGATGAAATTTGACTTTTATATAAACTCTGATCGGTTTTCACTTAATGCCAGTATTTTAGTTAAGATAAAAGAATTTTTAATACAATGAAGGTACGAGTGTTATTTTATTCTTTGTATTTTGAAATTGTGCTCGGTTTTTCTTGTGAAGTTCTGTGATGTTAATTTTAAATTATTTTATACAATCAAAACAAAATAGAATTGGTTAAAAGGTATTTTTATTGTTCTAGGTGTTCGTTTTATCAATTTTATTTATAAAATTAGCAAGTTCACAAATTCATCTAGAAGGCCACTTAGGAGGCCATCTAGGGGGTCTTGGGGGGCATGGATTGTCAGTACTTGGACATGCACCATTAGTTAAAGTCCTAAAACCTGAGCCCGTGGTAAGTTATAAAAAATATTTATAACCTATTTTTTTAAATTTTATAAAAAATTAAATATGGCTTAATTATAATATATTATAATTATTTAACAATATTGAATTAATTTTTTTTTAAATGGCGAATGCGACGGGATTAAATTCTTATGGTTTTCTATAGTATTTTAAAGTTTTGAAAAAAATATTTAAGCCATAACAACTTGGTAGATCCCATTCTCATTGGGAAACATTTCTGCTAATGTGGAAAAAAGAGAGTTTTGCAAAAATTGCAAATACGTTTGTCCTGTCATATTATCATCACTTATGATCCGATTTTCCACCATTCCTGCCCAGAGATTCACTTTTTGCCGGTATTGGGAATTTTCCTTTACTATCCAATCAGGATTTTCTCTGCTTCAGTATCTACAATTTTGACGGTTGACTGTTGACATTCAAACAGACGGTAGCTTCGTCCGAAAAAGTATTTTACGTGGAAAGTGTGGATTATTGTTACATAAATTCATCGTAATTTCACAAAATTGTAGTCAACGGTCCGGATCATCTTCGTTAAGATCCTGCACCAGTCTAATTTTGTATGGATGGTACTTTTCTTTCTTCATAAGAGTCTTATGAAGAAAGAAAAGTATGATAAGACGTAATACTGAGCGTTGGCTGACTTGACTTTTAGCTGCGACTAGGCTAGAAGCACTTTTATGATCTTCTTCCACACGTAACAAAATGTCAATTTTAGTGTCTTCACTAATACACGGACGGCAGGTTTTGGAATATCTTTGACATGTCTAGTATCTCTAAATTTCCAATCAATTTTACTAACCTTAGCACGAGTAATATTTCGAAATATTTGGAGAACGCTTGAGAGACAGATACTTCACTGAGTACGTCCGAATCAGGTCCTAAACCTTCCCCAGGACGTACCAGGGACATCCGATGTTACCAAATCGTCGGTCCCCAGAACGTCCTAAGTAAGACATCCTCTGGCCGTCCTGAAATACTTTATTGGGGATTATTGGACAAGCTCTACAGAATTGAAGAGAGGTATTCCCAAAGGGTCTAAGTGACAAAAATAAAATTGTGAGTTATCAATGAAAAACAAATATTTTAAACATATAAATGTTGGAATATTTTTTAAGTCATTCTGCATGACAAACTATTTTTAAATGATAATATATAATTTAGCCAACTTGACAACCTTTGGAAATACCATGCTTCAATTGCAAAAAAATTACGTCCTTGGGACGTACCGAGTATATCCGCTTTAATTTTCCCAAATAAGTAAGAGACTGGACGTACCAAAAACTTCCGATATAGGTCTGGGACGTTCGGACCTATGTGGGTCCCGAAATGGACGTCCTGGGTACCTCGAGTACCACAAGATCTTGTGCTATCTGGGTAGTAGTGAATATTTATTTCAAATTATATGCTAACAAAGAAATATAAAATTAAAACTTCCATATATTGACACTTGCTATTTGTAGAATAACAAAAAACAATATTAAACTAAAAAAAGTTTAACCTTAAAAGGAAATATTTTCAATAAATTCCTAAATTGCAATAAAAATTAAAATTAGACCTTATTTTCAAAATACTATAGTATAGCAACTACGTAATGGCCACTTGCACCGTAATTTTAACAGTGGTTTATTTTTCATAACTGGCTTGCACCGTAAATTAATCCTTGTTTAAATACCTCTAAACTACTATTAAAATAAACCCTCAATTTCGGGGGTTTAAATTACTTTAATCCACCGTTAACGATGTATAACCTCAAAAGTACTTGTATTCAAGATATTTTTTTTCCAAAGATATTATTTATTGACATCTTTAGAAGTTCCAATAACTACACAGCCAGTCAAAATTAACGCATAATAAGTAAAAAAATTCTAACTCTAAAACGCATTGACCAAATTTTGTATAAAAAAACTTCAACTTATATCTTAGTTTACGTGTTCAAGGGTTTTTCGAAAAAATATCCTTAAAGCCCTTTTATTTAATAATAAAAATCGATCGAAAAAAAACTTTTATAGGGAATTTTTTTTAGTAAATAAAAACTATTTTGTGAAATACCGTATTTTTGTTAGGATACCCTAAAAATTTTGTAAAAATCAATCGAAAAGTAACGAAAATACAGGGCTTCAAAGTCGTCAAAAATTACCATTTTTCTGCAATTTAATCAAAAAGGGGTCATTTTTACTGACTTCGTTACTGTTCGTTTGATTTGTACAAAATTTTCAGGGTACACTAACAAAAATACGGTCTTTAACAGCATATTTTTTATTTAGTTAAAAAATTCCCTAAAAGTTATTTTTTGAACGTTTTTTTATTATTAAATAAAAGGGCTTTAAAAATATTTTCTCGAAAAACCCTCGAACATGTGAACTGAGATATAAATTGAAGTATTTTTATACAAAATTTCATAAAGATTGGTAAGGGCGTTTTAGAGTTAGAATTTTTTTACTTAAAATGCGTTAATTTTGACGGGCAGTGTATAGTTATAGGTAAGGTTTCCAGTGTTGGCATATGGCTTAAGATTAAAATTAGATACAGTTTTGTCCATTATTCCAGCTGCAGCTAGCTGCAGCTGGAATAATACAATACAAAAGTGCTCTTTTAGTTCCACCCTTACTTCTTAAGAAGTCCCATAAGCCAACTGAATGGCTTGTGCGGGTTAGGGGTAGGAACGGACCGCGGGCTTTAAGTCCCCTCATAAGGAGTATTACATAATATTAATGCCATGAACTGAAGTACCCTGTTGTTACTCATCCACAAGATCGCATTATGTTTCAAAATCAATTAATACAAGATTTTGCGAATTTATAAAATTTAACGTGAATAATATTTTTGATGTTTTATTTAATTCAATTATTTTTTCATTTTCTGAAAAATTTAAGGAGCGCCACCTTTTTTCTTCAGGTTCTGTATCCATATTATTCTCTCTTACCATCAACTGAATCGGTCGTACATGAAATAGAAGATTATAAAGAATCGAACCACAGATTATAAAGAATCGAACTCTTAACATCAAAATATATTTGCGTCACAAATAAGTGTGAAGCACCAATCTTTTCCATTTTTTACATCAATAGTTAAATTTTAAACCATAGTAAAAAAATCACGGTGCAAGATTTTGGACACTAATCTCCTGTTACGTTTTAACTTGTAAGTTTATTTAACTGATCAGTTAGAGAAAACGACGCAAGTGGCCATAAAGGAGCATATGTACGTATCTCGTTTATCCAAAATTGGGAATCCCTGCTGCTGCTATTATTATCTAAACTGACTTTTTATGGAACATTGAGAAAGTTATCTATTTTAAAGAATTTTTATTGCAGTTACCAAATACAAACATCTAATTTGCTTCCTACAAAAAAATCTTTCGAAAAGGAAATATCCTTACTGGATGCCATAAATAATCATTTCGGCATAATCAGAGAAGGAAAACATAACTTAAATGATAAATAATGACAGGAAGAAAAATTGACACCAGCGTCCATAAAGTGGATGAGGAGGTCCATTCCAAAACTCGGCTTATCCCCCCTATACCCTGAAAAGTTCATAATATTCTAAAACTAACCTTATTTCATTTACGAATTGACTATCATTCCAAAACTTGCCTTATCTATTGGTTATATCATGCAGAACTCGGCGTATACGTATGTAATTTTAAATTATTTTTTCTACTCTCATCTTTAAAATGCCCTTAGTCACGGGCTGAAGTTAGCAACAGGTTTTTAGTCACGGGCTGAAGTTAGTTTTAAGTTAGTTGACAGTTGTCAAATGTCATACAATCGTTAAAATAAATTGCCTTTCTTGTAAAGTAATACTAAATGTGAAAATTATTTTATTATCTCAATACAAAAATACAAAAGTATTAAATAGTTTCTCAACGCCAATATTTGAAAAGTTTATATGAACATTGTACTGACCTTTTAATTTCGCCGGCAGTAAACTATAACTTAAATTCGGACACGGACTCCACTGTAAAGTGCTTATAAAACATTTTCTTTACTTTCACTGTGAAAACTGTCAATTTTCAAGAAATACATTTCGATTTATAACCTTTATAATCTGTTTTTATAAAATAAAAAAATTTGACATTTGTCGGTGACACACAGATTCCCCTATTGTTTCATAGATGGCGCTCTATACAAATTTTTGATTTAAATCATTTTAAGATAATAATAAATATTTGTCGTAGAAAAAGTATATTATGCACCTCGTTTATAAAATTTTCTATACACATTAATTTAAGAACTCGCTCGCAAGCTCGATCGTGCCTAAATTAAATTCGTATATAAAATGGCGTTTATCAAACTTGATACATAATATACTATTAAACTGGAGCTATACCTTTTTAATCAAGGTAGGTATATAAATGTTTTACTTGTGACTTTATATTTCGTTTAAAGTATTGTGTTTGCCTGATATGCGTTAGTACTCACGTGTAAGGTTTTTGACATTTTGCTCGAAAACAACTAATATGGATAAGCCGAGTTTTGGAATGCCCCTCCTCAAATATTTTAAATAGGTATAATATCAACAATGTAGCCTAGTAATTTAAAGAATTCCCTATCATAATGGCCATGTATTGGGATTGGCTATCGTTTTTTATTTTATCTCGCTTATTCTTTGCGTTTGATAATTTTAATTTTTAAGTATGTGTTTTGCATCCACTCTGTGAAGGGAGTAGAGATGTAAAAAACAGGTTTTTTTTCAGATATGAAAAAAACCTAGAAAAAAACGGTTTTTTTTTGTTTTTTTTTTCAAAATGAAATTTTGAGTAAAATATATATTAATAAAATGTAGAATATATTAAATTTTTCATTATGGAAAATTTTGACCGAGACTAAAAAATCTAATTTCTTATTATTTGGTAGTTTCCACATTAGAAACCAGTAGCAATGTAAAACTTCTACACCAATACAAAAAATTAAAGGATAAAAAAAATGTTTTGCGATTCTTCGGATAGCTGTATCTTTGTTAAAAATGGTCGTATTGGAGCTGTAAAAAAAAGCAATTTGAAGCTTGAAGTTTCTAGTTTTGAGATTTTTATATGAAAAATGTGCAACGCTCAATCCTAACAAATACCGTAATAAAAAAAATCGATTTTTTTGGCTTTCTGGTCCACGGAATGTTCTGTCTTAACCACCAATGAATAAATGTTCTACAAGAATTTATTATTGTTTTTTTGATAAAAAAATTCCATACTCTACATGAATTTGAAAAATTATGAAAAAAGTGCTTTTGGTAGGTTTTTGAAAAATCAAGCGCTGAATCAAAAATATTATATGTAGTTACTTTAATTAATTCGGTGGTGGTGGCACGTGCATAGCGCGAGACTGTATTTACATTTACTAATTGTCATTTAGTGGCTAATTTAGTCCATGAAACCTAAAAAATTAGGCAAATAGGACTAATCTTGAAAAAAAACCATTTGAAAAAAAAAACAATGAAAAAAAACCTGAAAAAAAAACAAAAAAAACGGACCGTTTTTTTTCAAGTCGCATCTCTAGAAGGGAGTTCTATAATATTATTCATAGTTGTTTTAATTAATAATATAATGTAAGGTAAAAGCTGTATTATGGTTTTAGGCATATCCAAAATACCATTTCGAATATGGGGTGAAGGATGGCCACACGGGCGACATAAAGGAACAATCCGAAGAACGCGACGGTGACGCAGTTAAGGGCGAGTATTCACTGGTCGAACCCGACGGTACGGTGCGAAACGTCAAATACCATGACGACGGTCACAGCGGTTTCAACGCGGTCGTAACTAGGACAGGACACGCGGTTCATCCTCAGCAACCTGCCAAGTTGGCTCTGACTTACGCAGGATACCATCACTAGATCATTGTTTGTGTTGGTATCATTTATTTAAGTATTTAAAGTACAAAAAATCTATCTACTCATTTCTTCATTTCCTCATTAAAACTACCTAATTATTTTTAGATTTTAATGCTGCATTTCACAACAGTCTATTTTTAAATTATATAACAACTTTCATTGTTCTATTAAATCCTATTATTTTTCTTTCTTTTCTTCCATATACATACCTATTAATATTATTATTATATTTTACGGTTTTATTTTTGTCCATCAGTGGCATTATTTTTAATTGTGATTACTAATATTAGCAAAACTTTATGTAAGTAGGTTTTTACGTTCTTAGATCTGTGCTTTGAGTTTTAACTATGCTTTTTAATGTAATTTAGTTTGTTTTTTGTTTTATAATAAATATCATGAGTATAATTTGTCATTTTATTTATTCATTGGTTTAAAAATATAAATCAAACTAACAAACTACCACGATACACAGAAAAAACGCTTTGATATAGTCAATAACAATGCTATAATTGATTGTTTTTTTATTTCCCGAATAAAAGTTAAAGTTTATTCAATCAAATATGTTTGGTGCAATTGAGTGTAAGGGATTGATGTTATTACAAATATTAGTTCCTTGAAAATTTTAGAAATGATTTAATTAAAAGTTTATCTGATTAAGGTAAAATTAACAATATTTAATTAAATATAAAATTGATTTATATTAAAAGTTATAAGTAGGGATGGGATTTTAGTTATTTTACCTTTTTTCAACCGATGTAACTATTTGAAAACCAATAATGCCAAAATGTGTTTTAAAAGATTTTCTTTTATATGAACCTAACTTGTTTTCACCTTTTTTACCTTTTTTGGAGGTTTTTGCTTTAAACTACCTTTTTTATACTTTTGTTACCTATTTTTTTAACAATTGTTTTCACCTTTTTTGGAGGTTTTTGCTTTAAACTACCTTTTTATACTTTTGTTACATATTTTTTAATTTGTCAGTTTATTTTCACATATATGTTATCTATTTTTGCCTATTTTTACTTATTTTATTTTTTTGTGTTCTTTTTAAATTTTCCGCCAATATTTTATCCAGGGCGTGCAACTCAACGGTATAGAATTTTTTCTTATGGTCACAGACTGTAACAGTAACTTTCTTTACAGTTACCTTCTTTGTAGTTCAGCAATCTTTAGGATTCGCCTCTAAATACATAAGATAAAATTCCTATTTCGTTTTAGAATAACCATGTGCCATGGCAGACAGATCCTGCACATCCAGTACAGTAACTGTTGCTATTGATGGGTCAGCAACTTCCTTAGAGCCTAATATCACATATATAAGTGTATACACTTCTAGTGGGTTCCTAATAGTTCCTACAGGAAACAGAACAATTTCATTTTATGGATCAAAAAACCTGTGTACAGAAGATTACCAGAAGTAGTTTCCAGAATTGATTTTATTTAAAGTTTATTTTAATGCATTATACAACTAATATTTGCACAAGAATATATACCTATATTTAAAGGAAAAGGAGGAGGTTTGATTGCATTTAATGTAGCTGGGTCAGAATTTCTCAAACGGGCCACCTGAATTAGGTCAAAATTAGTTTTTGTTTGTAGATACATTTTTTTGATAGTATTTTACATCACTAACACAAATCCTAAAGGATTTTGTAAAAAAAAAATTTTCAATTGATATATTCATGATATTAAAAGTCAAAGTTTTTAATAATTAAAAAATAAAAAAATTCATTATGGCTGAACTAATTATCCGATTCCAACGATATAACTAGCGTTGGAATCTTGTTTTGACATAGATTCTTTGTTATTTTTTTCAATTGTCCTATTTTCATTTAGGTCGATTTTTTTTTGTTTTTTTTATACCAAATTCGGAAATAATTGCCTTCTGCGCCAGCTATCGACTCGAGAAAAAAAACACATATACTCCAATCATTTCTCGAAATTATGCTGCTGAGAAAAAAAATGGCCCGCAGGTTGACAAAAAGTTATTCGTCCTTTTGTGGCCGCGCGCGGTGTCAGCTCACGCTCCGAACCGTGTACGCTGTACGCGCTTGTGACGCGACGTCTTACGGTGGTCTGGAACCTGCGGGCCATTTTTTTTCTCAGCAGCATAATTTCGAAAAATGATTGGAGTATATGTGTTTTTTTTTCGAGTCGATAGCTGGCGCAGAAGCCAATTATTTCCGAATTTGTTATAAAAAAAACAAAAAAAAATCGACTTAAATGAAAATTTTACAATTGAAAAAAATAACAAAGAATCTATGTCAAAACAAGATTCCAACGCTAGTTAAATCGTTGGAATCGGATAATTAGTTTAGCCATAATGATTTTTTTTTATTTTTTAATTACTAAAAACTTTTACTTTTAATATCATGAATATGTCAATTGAAAATTTTTTTTTTACAAAATCCTTTAGGATTTGTGTTAGTGATGTAAAATACTATCGAAAAAATGTATCTACAATCAAAAACTAATTTTCACCTAATTCAGGTGGCCCGTTTGAGAAATTCTGACCCAGCTATTCATTAGAAACCATAACTTTATTTATGCCAATGATAGTTTTTCATTAAGATTCATTTTGGCTTCAATTAAATAACAATTTAATTCAATAATTTCTTATGTTTTAACTAACCAAGTTTTTATATGGATTTAATAGAATCATAATTTAATTCAATGACTTCATATGTTCATGTTCATAATTTTAAGCAGGTTTGCACAAATAAAAGTAAGACAATCTTTCATTTTATCATAGCTGTAATTCAGGTATTGCAAATACAGTACACCATTGCCTCAATGGTTAAACCATTCACAATATAAAAGCTTTTTCTCTGTGTATGTGGAAAATGAACCTCCCATTAGTTGATTTGCAGAAATGGTGAATGCGCGGGGATATTTTGTGAATTTTTAATTGTGAACAAAAAATCATACTTTTGCTAAACAATCTTTCGTAAACATAGCGAAATCTTACAAAAATAGGAAATACAGATATATCGCCGCAATGGAACTTTTCTGACTATAAATAAGTAAACTATATAGGCAACTAGAATGATTCCTAAAAGTTATCTGGTTTGCCGAACTTAGCTCTTTGAAATAATAATACTAATTTTTTTTTCAAACAATGTTTTTTCTTACTTTTTTTACCCTTCTGAAAGTACTCCCAAAGTTTCAGATTTTTAAATTAATTTTTAACCTGAGCCTTGACCACCAAAAAACAAAAAAATTAATTAAAATGTAAGAAAAAACATAATTTTTATTTCAAACAAGGTTTTTTCTTACTTTTTACCCTTCTGAGGGTACTCCCAAAGTTTCATATTTTTAAATTAATGTTTACAAGGTAATACTTAAAAAGACAGAAAAATTTCTTATATGGTAAGAAAAAACTTAATTTTTATTTCAAAACAATGTTTTTTACTTTTTTACTTTTTTACCCTTGTAGAGGTACTCCAAAGTTTCAGATTTTTAAATTAATTTTTAACCTGAGCCCGACCACTTAAAAAAAACAAAAATTCCTTAAAAGGTAAGAAAAAAAACATAATTTTTATTTCAAACAAGGTTTTTTTTTATTTTTTACCCTTTTGAAGGTACTCCTAAAACTATTTTTCACGTAAGCCCCGACCACTTAAAAAAAACAGAAAAATTCCTTAAAAGGTTAAAAAAATAATTTTTATTTCGAAAATTTTCTTTTCTTACTTTTTTGCCCTTCCTTCCTTAAAAGGTAAGAACAAAATTTTTTCTTACTTTTTACTTTTCTAAAGGTACTCCCAAAGTTTCAGAACACTTAAAATTAAAAATAGAATTACTCCTTAAAAGGTAAGAAAAAAACAAAATTTTTATGTTAAACAAGGTTTTTTCTTAATTGTTTACCCTTTTGTAAATTTAAACCATTTTTAAATGTACGAAATTATTATTACATTATTTTATTAATTATTTTTGAACGAATCATATTTCTTAAGAAAATCTTTAATATTTTTTAGTTAAATCCAAATCTTTTATTAAATTCCCCAGATATCTTTTTTAACAGCCCCAGACCATCCGTCTACGTGAATTCTCGCTGTGAGTGACAAATTTAATAGTGTATTTCTTAATAAATTTTATGTCGGAATAATGTCCCCAGAGAAACTCGACACTCGCATTTTATTTGAAACATATAACGACCAATTTCAATGAACTTTACAAGACGTATCCCAAGGCTCTTTAGGTACATCCTATGCATTTATTCTTTACAAAAGTAAGTTATGCCATTAAAAATAGTTTAAAACATCATGTTACGGTTTTATTTTGCTCAAACGTAATACAATTTCAAATTAGATAAATGAGTTCTTTGCATCAAATTAAGGCCAGTGCAACGTCAAGCAAAATTAAAACACAGGATCCATTTAAAATGATAAATGTTGGAAAATGCAAATTAGGTATACCGCGTTAAAAGTAAAAGAGAGGAAACTAGAAAATGTTAATTTTTGCATATATTTAAATAATAGGCTCTGTTTTAAAGGTAAATAAACTGCCATTGGAGAAAATTGGCAGATAAGGTAATGGTATTGGAGTTTTGAACTAAATAAAAACCTTATAAAATGCATTTTGAAAAAAAATGACATGCGTGAGTATCATATTTAACTCCTTTTTGCATTTTTATAAGTAGAGATAGGAGTATATGCAAATGCATATTTTTAATTTGAATATTTTATTTTTTTTACAGATTTTGCATGGTTTAACTAATTAAATCTTATAAGGGAACGCTTTCTAAGTTTGGCCTTTTATGATCTTGTTTGTCTAAATCATAGAATGAATTAACCTGAAAGTTTAAAATTTATTGTGGAGTTTAGGAAAGTTGGGATTAAATTTAAAGCTCTTGTTTTGTGCTGCATCAATTATGCGGTTATTCAGACAAAAGGTATAAAAATAATTTTAATTAAATTTAATAAATAAAAGTTAACATTTAAATTATTTTATTAAAAAATATTTAAATTATCTATAATTTAAGTATTACATTAGGATGCTATTTAAAATATTTTCAAATAAATTAATTTATACAAAAATCAAAAGTTTACTTTTTATTATTATTATTATTATTTACCTACTTCTTAATCTAATTAAAATACCTCGAAAAAATATTGGAGAAATAAAAAGTAAATTAAAAAAATAACACAATTTTATAATAAATTTTCTATTAAATTTATAAAATAAAATTGACAAGCCAACAATAACATTTTTGCTTTAAAAATATTCTACCTACATTGAAAAATTTATTGCAAAATCCCACATACATTTATTGTTTTTATTAATAATTTATTACAGATTGGCCCCGTTAGAAAATTTTGAATTTTATTTTAAGATTTTAAGATCGTTATGTTTCGATATAAGGTAAGCTATAAACTAAATTGACTTTGTAACAAGTTTTTCAGATGTAAGAAGTTAATAAAAATAATATTAAAGTTATTGGTTTTTACAGTGTGGTCTATATTTGTGGTGAATATTAATACCATGTAATTGGTCAATCTATTATTATATATCTTTATTATAAGATTTATGTACTTCAATCTATATCTCACATCACCTTAAGCAAAATTGAAAAAAAAACATAACTAAGTTTAAGACAGAACAAAACAACCTATAATTAAAAATTAGCAATACATCATGGTAATTTCCGAAGGTGTTAACTAAAGAAAATCAATTTTAAGCACAACAAAAAGCAATAAATAACGAGAGAGGCTGATTTCAATGGCTAAAACTAAATTTGTAGGTGTACCTACCTTAGCAATAAATATTGATAAGTTTTCTTAATAACTGTTAATCATCGGTTAATCATATTAATTGACAGTTTTAGTATATGGCATATACAGGGTGAGTCAGGTGGCTTTGTTATCTATGGGTGGAACTAGTAAATTACAACAAAACTTAAAAAAAAATAGCCTATAAACAAATGGAAATAAGACAACAACCCTGTATTTATAAGACAACAAGTTTGTTTTCGCGGACTTTTATAAAATATAAAAATTTCGAAAAAAAATTCTTATGATCTTAAATATTCTGCTTTTTGTATAAAATTATTATATTATTAATTTATCGTATTTTTTAACTTAGATAAAAATGTATTTTGATATCTAAAAATACGTCACTCGTAAATGGGGTTGGAGGTTTATAATTTGTGAAACAGGGGGGTTGAATCGTACGTTTATTATTTTATTGTACTTTTTTGTTAATTTATTGACTTGCTGTCAATTTAAATATAAACCTTAGGTTTTCTACAATATCAAAAATGGCGAATGCGCCAGGAATAATTTTAAACAATTATAAATTCTATACCTCATTGTCTACATAATACAAAATAGCGTTATTATGTTTTTTAGCCAATCTGAGCAATTCTTTTAAAAAAATTTTTTAATTTACTTGTAGGTCCCAGTAAAAAGTGTATTAATTAATTTAAATTAAAAAAGTTTGCCTTTTTGTATTCCCCATTGATAAGCTGTGACTTTGGCATTTTAGTCACAGGCTAAAGTTATCTTTAAACGAGTTTCGTGTCACCAAACCCAAGGGAAAAAAATCCAACAGCAACTTAACTTTACATCTTCTACCTGAAAAAAAATTATGTATTTGAATATGAACATTTTTATATTTGATTAGAGTAGAAAAATATTAAATATTTATTACCTACTGATTTTAAAGCAATACGTAGGATGATATGTTCTAACTTTTTCGATGTTATTTATTTTATCTTAGTTAAGATATGCTTGTTTAGTGAAAATGGTTTTGCTGAGTTATTTATGTTTATTCTGTTTGGTCCTCTTTGGATTTTTTATTGATTTTTATGACAATGTTTGGGTTATAAATAATAAAAATAAAATATATTGGGTTATACGAGTTTAATATTAATAAATATTGGTTAAATGTAATAAATCACAAAAACGCCCCCTAAGTTAGATGTAGGTTATCCAATATTTTATAAAATATTTATATGATAGGTATTAAATAATTATTATATGAATGTAGAATATAGAAAAATGTAAATTCGTTGTTATTAAAAATAAACTATAATTGATAATACTGTAAATTTACATTCAAATAAATATAATTAGTTTGCTTAAAAAACATTAAGTAGGTACTTTAGTTAAAACATTATTAGGTTTATATACATTAAAAAACATTTACAAGAATTTCACATAAATTTATTTATTTGGATAAGATATATGTTTAAATCTTAGAATGTTATTTGTTTATTAAACTCGCCGACAAAGGAAAAATTTAAATATTTAAATATTTTGGTCAACAAAAAAATTGGTAATTTTGCAATTGTTTTATTTTTTATAAATACAATTTTAATAATAAAAATTTTAGCGTCCTATGATAATTTTCTTAAACATTTAAGGCCCATTAAAACTAAAATAAAAAATTATAATTTTTTTTTTTTTAGTATACACCCTGTAACATAAAGGTTTACGTTTTTAGGGTACAAAGAGATAAAAATCATTGTTTTGGAACACTAAAAATAAGAAAACTAGATATTTTTTTTTAATTTCTTTTTATTTAAATAAAATTTCCCTTATGCATTTTATTTGTTTCCCTTTCCGTTTTCCCGTAAATAAAAAACAATTTAGGTAAAAAACCTTCCCTGATGATGATACTATAATTTTTCATTTTCATTTTCATTTGTAAAACACCCCAGTACTTTTTTTAGTACTTTTGAATAAAAATACAATATAATTTGTATGAATTAATTTTACTTAATTTTTAATTTCACTTTAATAAAATATTTTTTTTAATAAAAAAATTGACTTTTTGATATTTGAGGTATATAAAACTTTTGTTATGTACTTCCATAAAATTAATTATTTGATTAGTTTCTACGTATACCATTATGCATAGCCAATGTTACATTGTGGTAACAGTTAAAATTGTGCCAAACAAATAATTCCAATTAATTGTTTTCATTACCAAATAATAAATTTGATGACGGTATTACTAATTACCAGTTCAAGATAAATGTAAATTTTCCAGTAATTCTATTAATTATTCAGAACTAATTGCATGTCTAAACAAACGCAAATTTATTAATCAGGTCTACATATTAATTAAAATTATCTTATGTCTTAATGGGAAAATCAATATTTAAATTACTTTTACAATGTAAAGTTTACATGTAGGCGTAATTGACTATAAGGTAGCTTTTAACAAATTAGTGTTATCAATTTTATTATATAGTAGGTAACAAATTTAAGGATAAACAGGTCAATTTATCTTTTGCTCATAAGTCAACTTTTTTTTGTACAAGGCGTATGAACGCTCTTCAGTATTGTATATTTATGTTGGTTGGTACCACCTCTTCTTTGTTTTTTGGTAGGAGGAACACAAACTTTAAGATCTATATCAATGACCCTTCCTTGACATTGCACGCGATTTTCATGTTATTGCGAAACTATCATTAATATATTAAAAAAAATCCTTTTTGTGCTCTATCAAGTCATCATTCATCATGGATACTGTGATTTTTTTAATTATCGTAAGTCATTTTTATATTTATTAAAACTAAGGAGAATATTTAAAAAAATGTTTATGTATAATTTTTAATATTAATAATACATTTTTTTATGTAGGTAGTACAAATTACAAAATTTGCAATATTTAAGCAAAAACGATTATTTATTGACTCTTTTTTATCTTTTAAGTTAAAATCATATCCCATTTTATTTTTAACTTTGATTTACATTAAAATGTTTTAAACCTTTGAAGTTTAGAAGCATTTTTTATTTTAACTTTTATTTTGGTATTAAAATTATTTAACAATATTTTATTTTAAAGGCATATTGCTTCATTATTTTTTGGGAAAATTTGTTATAACATAATTACTCTAATAGATCGACTGGTAGTAAAAAGTAATTTAAAAAAATTGCAAAACACCACTTAATTTTACCTAAAACTGTTTAATATGCATTTTAATTTTTTAAATTTTTTTTCACATATGCCATTTTAAGGATGTTAATTGTTACGATTGTTTTTGGTAATAATTAAACAATTTTACAAAGAAAAAACTGTAGAATGTCAACTAAATAAAGCACTAGCTCATTGGAGATAATAAAATATAATAGTATATTATGTATCAAGTTTTATAAACGCCATTTTATACACGAATTTAATTTAGGCACGAGCGAGCTTGCGAGCGAGTGCTTAAATTAATGAGTGTATTGAAAAGTTTATAAACGAGGTGCATACTATACTTTTTCTACGACAAATACTTATTATTATCTTAAAATGATTTAAATCAAAAATTTGTATTGAGCGCCATCTATGAAACAACAGGGGAATCTGTGTTTCACCGCCAAATGTCAAATTTTTATACACAATTATAAAGGTTATAAATCGAAATGTATTTCTTGAAAATTGACAGTTTTTCACTGTGAAAGTAAAGAAAATGTTTTATGAGCACTTTACAGTGGAGTCCGTGCCCGAATTTAAGTTATAGTTTACTGCCGGCGAAATTAAAAGGTCAGTACAATGTTCATATAAACTTTTCAAATATTGGCGTTGAGAAACTATTTAATACTTTTGTATTTTTGTATTAAGATAATAAAATAATTTTCACATTTAGTATTATTTTACAAGAAAGGCAATTTATTTTAACGATTGTATGACATTTGACAACTGTCAACTAACTTAAAACTAACTTCTGCCCGTGACTAAAGCGCCATAAAGCCACAACTTGTCAATGTGTATTTAAAAGGTCACTTATTGTCATGGAAACATGTACGATAAAGAGCGTTTTAAAGGTGGGAGTAGAAAAAATATATTTTATGAAATATTTTAATATTTAAAATTTTAGTAATTCTTATATTGTTACCTTTAAGTATTAGTGTAAGTCATTTTACTCAGAATTTTATGTAGAATTTTAAAATGTAAATATATATGGGGTGTTCTATTTGAAATATTCGGTCAAACCGAAAGTTATATTTTGTTTAAAATATTTTAGAAAAATAAACTTAAATTATAAAAGCTTTTAAAATTTATAATCGATATCTTTTTCCATTCCCCAAAAACTTCTAATTTAATTATAAATATAATTTAAAAAACACGCCATTTTATATAGAAAAATACATCATTGAACTTGAACTTTCCATTTTAATTGAAATATTTCCCCAAAAAGGGACATTCTAGTGAACGCAAATCCGGTATCTAAAGAAAAGTTCACTAAATAAATTAAGTTTTTTTTAAAGGTATGTATGTCATAAAAAGTTTATGGGTTTAAACACAGAATTTTAAAAAATACATGACGTGTTTTTGGTTTGTTGACCCTGGGCATTAGTTGTTAAAATTTTTTGGTAACAAAGTTTTAGGCATTTTATTTTAGGTTGAATGTTCTTAGATGTGACATAATTAAGATAATTACTTGAAGATTTAATGTTACCTCATATAGGATTCATTAGATAACAAGCAATAAATAATACTTGACAAGTTGTAAAAATTCGTGAAAGAAGATAATTACGAATAACTGGAAGCTAGCATTGCAAAAAAAGTTTTAAAATCGTGTATTTTATACGAGAATGTAATAAAACGTTTGAAAAAGGGTAATAAATATTTTTACATTAATGATCAAAATTATTAAACTTAAATAAAAAAACTTATACAAGTAGCTATCACTAAAAATTTAATAAATAATTAAAATTCATTCTTCTATTATACCTACATATTTACATTATAGCGCTGAGGTACCCACTCAAACAAAATATATACCTTACTAATTAAATATCATTAGAATTTAAACCATTGTTTTAATAATAATCAATTGACCAAATAATTTATTTTTTCAGCTGCCAAGAGTCAAAAAATTTATAAAAACATTTTAAAATACATTTGTTTTATGTTTTTAGAATACATACATAATGTGTAATGTATTATAATAGGTCAAAATACAAGATATATTTATAATATTATCTTTTATAATTTATTTACAATATATTGTAATTATAGTATTTATGTGTTAATTTTGTTAAAATTACTACTTTTACTCACCTAAAGTGTTTGGTTAAAACTTATGAACTATCGGAAAAAAATATTGCATATGCCCACACATTTCATTAAACCGAAATTCCGGTTACGGTTTTTCTATCTTTACAACGATTATTAGCTATTTAAGCATCTTCTACAGTAACTGCCAATAAATTTTAATAAGCGTGTGGGTTATACGATACATATTTAAATTTTATAAAGTGAACTACGTCCTAGTGAACCATCAACCTGCTGCCTATGGGAGTTTGGGTTAATAATTTATAGATTTAAACTCTTAGCCTTATTACAAATTTATAAAAAAGGAAACAATCGACTTGTATCTTTATTGACAATAACCTTTTAAAGAGGTTACCATAAAATTTAATTATTTATTTAATTCAGTTAATATTCACAAAGACAGGCTTTAATAACCATATTCAAAATATAATATATTCTATGTTAATTTTACTACCTCATTTTAGATTTTAAAATAATAAATATATAATATACACAGCCAAATACAAAGAAAGTTGGTTATTTACATAACAAAGTCGGTGTTCTTCTCAGTACTTTTGTATTGAAACGAATGGGAAGGAAATAACAGTTTGTAAAGTTAACTTAATTTTGCCGTTTTAATGTAAAAATATAAATTTTTGGATTTTTAATCAATATTATTATAATTGAAGAAAAAAATTATCTAAACCATTTTACTTCAATGTCATATACAAACCGCTGGAAATGTGCTATATGTAAACCATAAAATGGCGCATGGCGTAAGTTTTATCAATGAATTTAAAACTGTAAATGAAAAAAAAATCCTAACATTATCAATGTATAATTAAATTATTAATAAGATCATTGTGAATCAAGAAATTTTTATTTCTAATACAATAATGTACTCTTTCTTAGAACCAAATGCAGAAAAAACCACCATTGTATTTTAATATTAAACTTTTGTCTATATGCAGAATGCTTCGGATGCCTGACCTATATAATAACATAATGATAACATATAATTCACATTTAATTAAAAAGACATGCAACGGTATCTATATGTGCATCTTCAATTGACGAAGTCCGTCCTCGACTGTCGAGACTGTTGTACCAGTAAATCCTACACTTTCCAACGAGCGCTTCTGCATTTTATTAACAACTTAGTTATCAATCAATTTCGTACAACAAGCGAGCTACGTAGCTACTGCCATATCAGCCCTGTCAAGGATACTGGGCCCACTGAACGAGCAGAATTTTTCACAATGGGATAAATTTAATTTCTTTAATTTTTGAAATAGTAGATTTGTCATTTCTAAGTATACATATATATTAAATATAAATACATATATTATGATTTCAGCAATATGCACATTTATACCTTTAGGGCTGATAGTTTGGGAGACATTAATTATTACAAGTGTAAAATTAACAGTTTTTTAATAATCTTTTGGTGTTTTATAGTTTTTATTAAAAGACTTTTTAATGGGATTTTGATAAAATTAAAAAGGGTTTATAGAAGAAATATTCATACAATTTTTCGAAAATTTTTATTTCAAGGTCATACCTTTTCATATTGTTGTTTTTTGTTATTCTACAAATTGCAAGTTTTTTTATTTTATATTTCTTTGTTAGCATATAATTTAAAAGGAATATTCACTACTAGATGTAAACACTTTGAGTTAAGCGTTCAGTAAAGTATCTGTCTCTTAAGCGTTCTCCAAATATGTCGAAGTATTTAAATATGGGCCATTTAACAAAAGATATTCGAAAACCTGGCCAACCGAGTATTAGTAAAAACACTAAAATTGACATTTTGTTACGTGGAAGAAGATCCTCACAGTGCTTCTAGCCTAGTCGCAGCCGAAAGTCTTAAGAAGAAAAACAAGTACCATCCATACAAAGTTAGACTATTGAAGGAACTTAACGAAGATGATCCGGACCGTAGACTAAAATTTTGTGAAACTATGATAAATTTATGTAACAATAATTCACACTTTTCTCGTATATTACATTTTTCGGACGAAGCTATCTTCTGTTTGAATCGTACAGTCAACCGTCAAAATTGCAGGTGGAGCCGAAATCCTCATTGGCTAATAGAGGCAAATTCCCAATACCTGCAAAAAGTGAATGTCTGGGCTGGAATGGTGGAAAATCGGATCATAGGTCCTTTCTTCTTTGACGAGAATATGACAGGACAAACGTATTTTGAATTTTTACAAAACTCTTTTCTTCCCACACTAGCATAAATATTTTCCAATGAGATCTACCAAGTGATACCATTTGGTTTGATACCTCCGCACTATGCGCGTCCTGTCCAGTGGCGTACCGACAGTACCGCTAACGCCCGCCACCGCGGGGGGCCCTAACCTCGTAGGGGCCCGGCCGATACTTGCCCCAAAACATAAAACTTATTTCCATCGCATTATCTGCAAAACAAAAAACGTGAGGCGACGCTTAAAAATTATGGCAACACTGTAAGATTGCTTAGATCGCTAGTTAGAGTTATCTTTGTATGTTATAAAAATATGTTATTTTTTTCTAATATTTTATAGAAGTACGACAAAATTTAAATTATTTTCTCTCAAATAAAAAAATTCTACAGATTTTGAAAATAGACTTAAAAAAATGATCACGGCTTCAATAACAGCTAAATGTATAGTTTTGAAAAAAAATTATTTAATGAAATGAAAATTATTTTAATTTTATACAGGGTGTTGCTTATTTAGGAAATATATCAAGTGGTGTTTTTTAGGTTGTGAAGCAATGTATAATCGTCAAACTAAAAGACCAAGATTTTTTTCCAATACATATTGAATATAAGATATATACAAATCTGTTGTTTTATTTAAGAAAAATCAAAAATTAAATAATTTTATTTCTATTTATAGATTTTTTTTTATTTAAAAAAATATTTTTTGTATTATTTAAAACATACAATATTTGAAAAAATAATTTTTAACAAAATAGAAAATTAAATATATAATAATATATAAAAAATTTTAATGACGTGATTTCGTAAAACGGTAATACACGGATACGTTTTTATAACCTATATTTTTAAAATCTGTTAAATTTTTTCATGGGAGGGAAATCGTGTTGAACTATGTTAGAAACAGTGGAGAACCTTATTTAAAAAAAAATATTCTTTCGCATTTTGTAAAAAAGTGGTTATTGTTAAAAAATAATTGTTATTGTTAACAAATAATAATAACAAATAATTAATTTTCGATTACAAATATTTTTTGTAATAAATAAAAATATTAAAAATATCATTTCACCTGGTGTTTTATTTTCAATATAAAACATGTAAAAAATATGTGAAATCAGGGGGGCCAGTTTTTCGCGGGGGGCCAAATTTTGTCGCTACGCCAGTGGTAGTGTCTGTACTTTTTTTATTTATTTTTGCAAATCATTTAGAAAAAATTATTCCCAACGTGTAAGAAGTATTCAATTTCAGATCGCTGCATGTTACACAAAAATCCTGAGTGCACCCTTATCGTCAAATCCTCGTTTGAGCCTTGCCGACTGGAATAACTATAATTTACACGAACCGAACGGACCAGGGACGTACGCGTTCGGTTTTGATATTGAGGATCCCGATACAGGAAACGCCCAGTTCAGGAACGAGGAGAAGCACGCCAATGGCAGTGTCACCGGTAGTTATGGATACATGGATCCTGATGGGGTTGCTAGAATTACCCACTACATTGCCGATGCTGGGGGTTATAGGTAATTACTTATAAATAAATGTGCAGTTACTAAAAAATTTCATTTTTAGGTCTTTCCATGAAGAATCTCCGATTAATCTTCTGAAACCTATTTTCACGAGACCGATTTCGGAAATCTCCCATTTATCCGAAAAACCTGATGCTCCATCGGAAAATTTTGCCGACACTGATCATTATGACCCATCGCTGGACAACATTGAATTCATCAGTAAAATCGTAACCCCAGATGTGCCATTTGGTTCTATTAACCAAAATTATCTTGGATACCAGAATTTTGGAAACAATTTCCAGTATCAAGGATCAAATCAGCTACAAAGTGGATTCGATAATAATTATAATTATCCAGTTACGCAAAGACCTTTTGTGCAAAATCAAAATGTATATGTACCTCCCCAAATAACTACAACCACTGAACCCATTTGGCCCAATTTCAGCTTATTGTCGTTGTTTGGAAATAGAGTTAGGCAAACACCAAAACGCACTTTTATAAAACTACATTAGGACATATTTTATAAATAAATTATTTTAATTTAATATATTAATATCTATAGACACAGATATAGATTCTACAACTTAGGGTAACTCTTTAATATGGCTTTTGATATACAGGGTGTTGCTAGGATACTTCGAAAGCATTGTTGATAATACAGGGTGCGGCAAAAAGGTTGCCCCATTTAAGGGTCATTGTTCGGCTCGTGGGAGGGATGAAGCAGTGCGCGTGGTTGCTTTAGGTAATTAAGTGCATGCCATTTTCAGTCATCATAATGAATCTGTCAGAAATATTTGATATGCCAAAAAAAAATCAAACTAAGAAAGAAGCTTTTTATTTTTAGGAAACACATATTATTTCATACATTTTATGTTTTAAAATAATGTCTTTAAATGACCGCTGTTATTGTCAATGGACATTTGAAGCCTATTACGACAGCTCGTCATTGCTCTGCGAGCCATGTCTTGCGGAATTGCGTTGATTTCTTGCCTTATTGCTGCCTTTAGATTTTCCAAATTTTGTGGACGATGTTTAGAAAGTTGTGATTTTAGATACCCCCACAAAAAAAATCGCAAGGGGTCAAATCAGGCGAACGCGGAGGCCACCCAATATCACCCCGTAAAGAGACATCTTTGCCTGGACATTTTATATTAAAAAAACCTCGCGTAAATAATGGACCTTCAAAAAATAGAGAGCTTTTTCTTAGTTTGATTTTTATTGACATCCCAAGTATTTCTGACAGATTCATTATGACAACTGAAAATGGCTTGCACGTACCTACCTAAAGCGACCACGCGCACGGCTCTATCCCCCCAACGGGTCAAGCAATGACCCTTTAAAATATTTGGTCGACTGGAATCTACTTCATTGTAATATTGCTGTCAATTTTTATTTCTGTCATTATTTATCATTTAAAGCTTAATTTTAATGTATCCGTTTGTCCGTTCATCCGGGAGCGCTCTTATTGGTCCAATTATAATTGGAAAATTATGACATTTTATCGGTCCATCAAGTTTCAACTTCGTACGTCTGACAGAAAGGTTATAGTTATTTACGATATAAGTGGGATAAGAGCTTTATTAACGTACGCATGCGAAATTTGCCCAACGAGTGCGTAGCACGAGTTGGGCAATCGCAAAAGTACGTTAATAAAGCGTTATCACCCGTATATTGTACAAATTTTTATCAACGCCTCTAAATGAAAAAATAAACGGTAATTCTATTTTTGTCTAAGACTTAATTTAGGGTTATTTTGACATTTTGACTTTTTTATTTGATTGGTTAAAAACAAAGAAAAACGCGTGCGTTAATGAACTTCTTATCTCACTCAAAATGAGTGGGATAAGAAGTTCTTATCTCACTGGCGTAGATAAAATAATTTTAACTCATCCGTCACTACACATCTGTTTTTGACGTTATTTTAAGATAATTTATTTTCAAATCTTTTTATATTTTTTCAATAAGATTGTAGAACGGAAATATTACGTTCGTTATGTGAATAATGTTCTACGGTTATGTTTTTATTTAAGAATAACGGAAAAAAAGACAAACAAAAAAATTCAAACTAGAACTAAAAGGGCCTGTTTTTTTTTAAACTATACATTTTAATGTACATTAAGGCTAGTATATTCTTTTTATATGGTATATTTACCTACCTTTAAATTTATTAGACAGCTAACTGTTAAAGTAACAATGTTGACATAATTGTAACTATGACAATTAAGCATTAGGTAAATTTAGTATAGTGAATATATATACTTACACTCAATTTCTATTTGTCGTCAAATCAATCTGTTAAACGTCATTAAAAAACGGATGCATGAAAATTAGAACATTTCTTATCGGACGATTTTATTGAATAACGGACAAACGGATACATGAAAATTAAGCTTAACATTCAATAACACTATAGTTTAAAAATTAAAAATTTCTAGGTAATATATATATATATATATATATATATATATTTATATTACCTAGAAATTTTTCAATTTCATATCTGCATTGCCAGAATTCAGTACAGTTTCTAAGTTGATAACTTATTAACAACTAACAACGAAGTTGGCTTTACTTAGTAGTTTGAAATACAAACCTCAAGTATGTAAAACTAAAATTTTAGTTATTGAAACTTGGACTCTCTATTGACAATATAATTCGAAAACTTAAAACTTTATCAAGTATTATTTATTAAAATTATAATTCAATTGTCAATTAAACTTTTATTTTTTTATAATTAATTTTTGTTCCTCTAGATATTGGCCTTAAAAGATGTACGTATTTTCCTAATTTTGTAGAATCGCTCAGTTAGGTTTAGTTAAATTAGATAAGTATTTATTTTTAGCTCTATTTATTGTATTTAAAAAAATCGCATATAATAAAACTACATTTTTAAGTATTATAATTTAATCCTCATGTATCACAACATCCACAGGCACATCTCTTGCCCCGCCCCCAATAAATTTATAGCAATGCCAGTGACTTATTATTAAACAATTGGCAGTCTTGCAAAGTTCCGCAGGACTATGGTTAGAGATACTCAGTAACGGACCGTAATACTTTAACCGTATATCGTTTGATATAGTGGATGCTGCTATGGTGTAGCTCAGTTTAGCTCCGGGTATGTTGCAGGCTATCCAAAGGATTATTTTGTCGCCTGCTTTAAAAAAATCCAGTTTTTTTTCATCATCCTCGTAAGATTCTAGGATGTCATGGATATTTTCGTCTGGGTTTTTTATGTGATACGCTGGTATTCTTCTTGCAAGAAGGAAGAAAACTGGTATCGAGCTGTCAAGTTCTTTGGGGAAATTAAAATCACTAAAAAAGAGGAAATTACCTTTTACAAAGAAGGCGTTACTATTCACCATGGTACCATGCTATCCACTATAGTAAAAGGCACCGTACCATATAATTGTTTCATGCACCTTTAATTATTTGCTATCAATCAAGACCATCAATCGGCAAAACAATACTTACTATTTCGAATTGTTAGGAATGATGTTGTTCAAATCCAGGTCCGTGATGGTTATGACCCTTAAACAAGTGGTCAAATCGTATCTGATCTCAGTAGGTGTGAAAGACATGCTCATTCGATTATCCAACGGGGAATTTGACTGTTGAATCATGGGATGTTCGTATTTAAAGTGGGATGAAAGGGTCGTTATTGAGACGAATCTGCTGCATACTCCATGAGGACACTGAAGAGGTCTGAAATACCTACTTTATTTTAATGTTTGCTTTAAGGTTTCTAAATTAATTAACAAAAATAAACGGTTTTTATCTCGTAATGCAGACAAATGTTTCCATGACACTAAGTGATCTTTTAAATACACATTGGCAAGTTGAGGCTTTATGGCGCTTTAGTCATGGGCTGAAGTTTTAAGTTATTTGAGAACTTGTTAGTATAAATATTTAGGTTGGTATGTTATAAAAATGTGTAAAACTTACCTTTTTGAAAGAGACATAGTACTGCAACTTTTTTTCATACTCAAAACCGACGTCGATTTTTTGGGAACAATTTTTTCAACATGATGTTCAGGGTTTGGAATAAACCTATTATTTTTAAAAAACATTGCCATTTTCCTGGGTTTCTCGGAATATTTATCTAAAAATAATTATTTAAATTTATTCAATTTTCAAATAGACATTCCAAAGCAAACACAAAATAAGTAAATAACTTTTATTTTTACAAAAATACGTATTGTATTTTACATATTAACCATCTGTGCCAAGCACTTGAGCATCAGATGTGATTATAACAATCCAATGGAGTACAGTATATATTCAATTATTGTACTTTTTGCCTTTTTATGTAAAATTATTTTGACTGTGGAAAGTAAGGCCTTATCTAATTTAAACATAAAAAACTTAAATTAGATAATGCATTACATCAGTTGTACTTCAATAATAATCCTAAATTGTTTTGTAATTCACGTATTGTTTTTATTTTTAATAATTTACTAATTTAGGGTTATGTCAAACGATACGAAGGTTGAAAAAATAAATATGTTCTCTTCGCATTAAATCTGATGGATTTTGAAAGAAAACATTCTAAATTATATTGTGGAACAAAAAAAACTAGAAGAAACGCGTAATTTTTAAGTTAATTAGTCTTCAAAATCTGTACTCAAGTGAACTGGCTGAATGACCATTGCTTTTAAGTATTGGAAATACGAAAAAAAGTGTTCATCTGTCAACCGTTGTTATTTGAGATTATTTAGTAGTATTGGTGGATTGCGTCACAGTCCCGAAAAAATTGATAATTATCACGTTAAAAGTGTGTTTTCTTCTTACTTTGCCACTGTAACACCCGAAACGAAAAATCATGTAATTGTTTTATTATACCTTACAGATTGATTAGTGAAATATTATTTAGTAAAAGTAACGTTATGGTGGTAATGATTTAAAATACTAACTAATATCCGAGCATGAGACTAATTTTTATATGTGTTTTTCTTGATTAAAAACTGTAACCCCCGAAACGTTTCGGGTGTTACAACTTTTTCGTCGATATATGTGTGTGTATTGCTTAAGGAATGCAATATGTATTATTTTTAAGGCTATTTCGACAGCCTACTAGCGCCGTCATCGGAAAAGCAGTCACACCTCTTTTAAAGAGGTGTGACTGCTTTTCCGATGGCGTCGAACCTACCAAAATACTGAATACTTAGATTTTCGTCAATAATTATGTTTCTACCGATTTTTGGCAATAATAACGATTTTACCCCTTTTGAGGATTTATCAATCGCACCCGAAGCTGCTTAAGTTATGTTAAAGGAGAATTAATTCTATTTATGTTTATTTTTTAATAACTTATTTTGTAGTACCTAAAGACACCGATTTTGTCCATATAAAGTGTTTAATTTTTGTACTTGTAACACCCGAAACAGAACCATGGTAACACCCAAAACAAAGAAAAGTTTTATAATAAAATAGTAAAACGTTATTTGTGACAGTGATTATGCGGTAGATGGTAAGTAAATAATATTTCCCTACGAAAATTCGCTGAATTTCAATGGTCAGGACATAAAGGCAGAATCGTGAAACACCCGAAACGCACACTTTTTGACTTTATGACTAAAATCGTTATACTATATGCTAAACTGTACTAATTTTCAATTTAGATAAAACAACTAAAAACGTAGAGAATAAAGCACTTTAATTGCTAAAATGTTATTTCAAAATACATAAAAATTTAGACTTTGGTTGAACAAATGTAACACCCGAAACGATGAAATGACCCTTAACCTTCTTTAAATACATTTTTGCTTGTTTTGTAATCAAGCACTACTTATTACTACATACCTTTGGTAAATTTTCTTTTAAAACAATCCATACAGTAATAATTCTTGTCTTTGCTTTCTAACAGACACAATTTTTCAAACATATTTCCACAGGATTCGCAGTTATCATAATTTTCATAAGATTGAGACATTTTTACAAATTAAGAAGACTGAAAATAAAAAAATGTCAAAATAAATAAACTTCTGGTAAAAAATGTCAAAGTCTTAGGGAAAAGGTTTGCAACTATGGAGTTTAAAATTTTGTTGGTATTAAAATATACCTGGTGTAACTAAAATGCTTGACCAAACTTCATAATTGTGTCATAATCATATTATGGTCATATTAGGGTCATAATGATTATTGTCAATCATTTATTGCTTAAAGATACTACTAACTATGGTTATAATTACAATAAAAAAGCATTAATTAACAATAAAACTTATAAAATAATAAAGAATAATTTTCAATTTATATTTATTTTTTAATGAACGAATTCATTGCCATAATTTAAATATCTTAATTGCTAAAGTGAAATTGTATTTATTCGTACAAATAAGAAAACAGTAATCTCCAAAGTCATAAATTAAATAAGCAGAAGTCGTTTAAAATAATCTGATACAATTTTTGATTGCGAATTTCACTCAGGTCATCGTACAACAAATGATTCCACATACGTTTAAAAACTAATTGCATTAATTTTGGCTTCATTATTAATAATTAGGGGCCGGACTTTAAGGCAGTTCAAAATGAAAAGAGGTTCCTAAAAAAAGTAAAAAAGGCAAAAATAAGTTGTTTGTTTAAAACACATTTTCCACTTCTAATTTATAATTATAACGGCCTATCAGAATTGATCATATGCATAGAATCCGGTCTCTATTAATAATTATAATTTAAAATTTAATTTAATCTGTAACATTAATTTGGTTGTACTTAAATTATAACAGTAAAATTTCGGATGAAAAAGAAATAATATTTTTTTTATGAAATTAATTACTTTTGGGTATTTCCATTGTAACGGGTGCGACACTAAAACTGCCTTTTTTATGATAATAAAGTGTTTGTTTATATATATGAACAAAAAAATATATATATACAAAAAAAATTAGGTATTTAACTCAAACAAAATGTCAATAAAAACTTGTAAAGAAAACTTTTTATAACGTCATGAATAGCGTAACGGGCGCGACCTTAGAAAATCGGCAAGTGCGACCAAGTTGGCTTCTAAAGTTGATACTGTAAAATTTTGGATGAAAGCATATAGTAATAATTTTTTGTGTAAAACTTGAATAGTAACCTTAAACAATCACGTATTTTAAATGCACAAAAATTGCATACTTTATTTACTAACATTTTCTTAAAATGTAACGGGTGCGACATTTAAACATTTTATCGAGTACTGAAACTCTTCCGTGTTTATTCTTAATGTTAGCTTCTTAGCATCACAATGTACGAATATTTTAAGGTTATAAATTACGTCGCAATTAAACTATTTGACTTCGGATAAAGTTGTTATTTTGTTATATAACACATCTGATTTTTTGTCAAGGTGGGGTAAGGTTTCGTGGAAATACCCTTTTTTAAAATATAGCATAATACATAACTTAATTTCGATTTTGTGAAATTTTTTTTAACTAAAAAAAATAATCAGAGTATGACTTTAACATTTTGAAAACTAAAACATGGTTTAAAATTTATAGTTATAATTTATTAATAATAATTATAATCATCTTAAATTTTGTTAATTTTTCATTCATAATAATTGGTGTTATTTTTAGTATAATTTAAACAATATAAAATATTGTTACATACAAAATACAATGAACTTACCTTAACAATATTATCAAAGGAATTCGTAATAGGTTTTCAATAGTAGTTTGGAACAATAGGGAATGGCTAGAAACCCTCACGATAATTCGAGAGGTTCCAGTAACCCAATTTCTTCTCTGTTTAACTCAAAAAAATCGGAAGGGGTCTCTCTTCTTCCTTCGACCAGAAGAAAGCATATATAAGGCATATACGAATTTCACCAAACCACAGTCGTTAATCAGTCAGTGGTGGCTTCTAGTGGTGTTAAAAATGGCATTTGTTAAGGTAATTGTGCTCAGTGAAATTTTAAATAATCTATATACAAGTGGATTTTACTATATTGTAGTACCTTATACAAAAGTAAAAAGTGACAGTCAAATAAGACAAATGTGTTTAATTATACTTGAAAAATATAATTTTTTTAAATTAAGAACGTCGTTTTCCGAAATATTAGCAAAAATAACATTTTTAAAAGAAACACCCTGTACATTTTTGCAAAACAATTTGATTTGGGACAAAAAATTATTTTTGCATAACTAACCTAACTTAAAAATAAACAATTAATAAGCACTTAAAATTTCTGATTGTTGTTAAAATAAATTAATAATTTGGTTATTTCAACAACCATCAAAAGGTTATTAATTGTTTATTTTTAAGTTTAGGGTACTTTGCAATAATAATTTTTGTTCCAAATTAAATTGTCTTGAATTATATAAAAATATACTGGGTGTGCAGTTTAAAAAAATTATATTTTTGTGAATATTTCGAAAACTCAACGTTCATGAAGAAAAAAAATTGCTAATTTAATAATAATAATTTAATAATAACGGAAAATGTTAGCAATGGTAAGCAGATAACTTTGGACACAGTGTATATTTTAATATTCTTAAGTAAACAAATTGAACACAGACTTTTAATACATTGATAATTTTTTATTAATTTCTTTAGAAGATTAAATAAATGTCATAAACCACCACATTCCAAAAACAACTGACAATGAAATAATACTTAATTACATTAACACGATTTACTTCAAAATTAGATTTCTTTTCCACATTACTAAAAAAGTAGAATAAACAAATAAGGCTTGAAACATGCATGTAGAACATTCTTAATTACAAATTATCGTACTGTAACAAACAGACAAGTTTTAATTTCTAAAAATTAAATTAATTGAATTGCACTTTTTGTTACTTATTTGTAAAAATATATTTTTTCAGTGATGTATTGTTAAGTAATAATTAAAATTTGTGTCACTGGACAGCAGTTTCCAATGTTTACGCTTCCACATAATGTATATTATAGATTTTCACCAGCATATGGAGAAATCTTATTTTTATTATATTTTTACCGATAATGATGATTGCAGCTGTAGGCATTAAAATATTATGTTGGTCTGCAAGTTTATTTAACTAATATGATATAAATTATCATAATTTAATTATGTAAGGTATTTTTCCATAGTTTATAGGCATAGTTTCTGGTATTTTTTATTGACCAAAACCAAAATTTAAAATATACTGGTTTTAGTTTATTATTATTATATTATTATTATATATTTGTAATCAAAAGGTTTATTTTTATAGATGTTTATTTCGGATATTTTGCAATTAGTTTTTATGTAGGAAATCTGCTTTCAATTAAAAAGTTTTAATTGTTAGAAATACATTCTAATCTTTAAGGCCAAAAATAAGTTTCCCACTCATTAAATTAATATTATTTCTTTAATTCCATCTAATCTAACATAATGCACCTTTCTCTTCAATTTTATTTTAACTTGTTTCAGTTCCTAAACTATTATCTAAAAATGTGTAATTAAAAACAACATTTAATCAATACCATAAAATAAAAAGCTACTAAGAATAATTGTTGTTTATATTTTTTACGGTTTTGATATTGGATCTTAATTGTTTTATTTATTAACACGCCACTTCACATTTAACCTTTTCTGAAAACCCATTGTGATAATAATCATTGGCAATTATTTATTTATGCATTTAAAGGTAAAAAAAATGTAATAACATTGATTTATAAATATAATATTTCTACTGCGTATGGTATACCGTTGCGCTTACTTCATTCATAACCTTTAAGTTCATTTGATAATAGAGGTTGAAACGTATAATTTCATTGCGGAAAAAATTGTGTTTTTACCATGTTGAAAGCAAATATTTCGTTCTAGATTTCTTTGTTGTGCTTTTGCATCGGTTTGACATCCGCATACGCCAGAATTGTATATCAACAACCTCAACATCACCAAGCTCAACATCACCAACCTGAATACCACCAACCTCAACTGTTGCAGCAGAGGAAGCAAGTGCATTTGCAGCATCAACAAGCCGAAGAAAACAATCAGGTTCAGTATGTTGAAACTCCCGCTCACGAGCCCATTTACGAACACGTCCAAGAGGAAGAGGCACATCAGGAACCAAGAGGTTATGTTTTGGAGGAGGAGGTCAAACCTAGTCATAGCCACCACGTAGATTACTATGTAAGAAAATTATACTATAGCTCAACTAATTTGGCAAATTTGACTACAATACACTGTTCAAAATTTCATGACCATTTTAACACCAAATTAACACCATACATGGTCTATATCGATACAAACCAAAATGGTGTTAAATATGGTTCGTTGGTCCGGTGTAAATTCAAATACTAAAATAGTGTTAATTTAACTTTCACACAGTATTAAAATAATTTTTTTTTTTGGTGTAAATCGAACTCTTTTTCAGTGTTAAATATTATGTGTTTGTGGTCAAATTAAATCATACTACACAGAAAAAAGGAAAAAAAGGAAACAGGAAGTTCCTTGACGCATTACTAGTATATTACCAGTGGTATTATTCCAGAAAATGGAACCTTCAACTCGCTAGAGATAATGTTTTTAGTGCGTTCCACTAACTAAAAATACTTCAAGTATTGACAGCTGTTTTCACCTATTTAAGGTCTCTTTAGTATCGAACAACTTGTAGTGCAGTGCTGCCAGAGCAGTCTGCTCTGAGCAGATGGTCGGATAATCCGTATATATTCGTGGAAAGGGTGGGGGGAAGCCTCGAAAAATCCGTAAAAATCCGTTTTTGTCTAAATTTTGAAAAATTTCTTCTATAAGGGGGATTTTCGTGACAAAACATACCTTTCGTCAAAGAAAATCCGAAACATCTCAGAATTTTTCAGGGGAGTTTCAGAAGTTTGAACCTCTTCGTCAGTGATATAATTCTCGTCACTTTCCATTTTTCACAAAATAAAGTATTTTATATACAGATTTGGATATAATAAACATTGACTTTGAGATCAAAATATTGCCACAATGCAGTTCAATGCACTGAACTGGAGTCAGTATTGGTTAGTCGTTACTATTGGTGGCATTGCGCCGCTTATATATTGGCAGCAATAACAACGTGTTATAAAACCTTAACAAATGATATGAAACTATCGTTCTCTTTGTCACACTCAATGAAAAAGCATATGTTTCGCATATATTCGGCGTTTAAGAACCCTATATTAAGAACACATCCTTTTTCAATCCGCTTTCTTTTTCTGTCTAACGTAGTAAAAAGGAAGAGGAATAGAAGCGTGACAAAGATGATCAAAAAAACGGGGCAAAAATGATGTTTTTTTAGTATTAGTATGAAGCTATCTTAAAAATCCGTAAAAATCCGTATTTGATGAAAATCCGTTCAAAATCCGTTTCCAATTTCTCTAGACCTGGAAAATCCGTAAAAAACGGATAAATCCGTTCATCTGGCAGCACTGTTGTAGTGTCACACCAAAGCAAAGGACTACCTGAGATTATATATTCTTCATGTAAGTCAACAGAGGCGAGATTTAGGAACATCACGTGATCCACACCGCCTTTGCCGCGATCGGTACACACTATGCAACCGTGAATGCACAGCAAATTGTTTTAATCGTTTTAACAGAGTGCTTTAGGTTGAAGTAACTCTTATTTTACAAACAACATATTTAGTAAAGTGAACCATACAGCGGGTTGGTTTCACTAAAGTTTTCTGGGTTAATTTAACAAATTAAAAAAAAAATAACTATCTGGTTTAGTACCGTCAGACTAATCTTTGTTTATATTAACCTTCCCACAGTTGATAAAATAAAAAAAATACAAAAATAAATACTTATGGGTCAACTAAATTAATATAGTTAAATGAACTATTCCTTTTTTTCTGTGTAGGTGCACTTCTCAAATATTTTTAGATAAACACCGTTTTGATGTTTGCTGTATATAACATTTTCAACCACAATTCATGGTGTTATATGAACACCACTTGGTGTTGGATTTTGACACCATTTTAAGATTACTCTTTACACCACAGATATTTTAAACAGTGTAAGAGTCAGATGGGGTACTTTATGGTAATTTTTTGATGAATTTCAGGCTCCACCAAAATACTCCTTCAAATACGGCGTAAGCGACTACCACACCGGCGACATCAAGAGCCAACACGAGACCAGAGATGGTGACGTAGTCAAAGGACAATACTCAGTCGTGGAACCCGATGGTTCCGTGCGTACCGTAGAATATACCGCTGACGAGCACAACGGGTTCAACGCGGTGGTACACAAAACAGCACCGACCAAACAAATAGAACAACACGAACACGAACCGCAATACGAAGCTGCTCAAGAAGAGCACCCAGTTGTACACGTCGAGGAACACCAACAAGAACCACAACCACATTATCACTAGAAAAAAATTATGTTTGAAAGTTGAAACACAAATTTTGTTGCAACGTCAAAATGTTTTTTAATTGTTTTTTTAAGTTTTACTTTATGAAGGATTGGAAGTTTTAATAGTTTATTTTCTTCCCAAATGCACTTAAATGGTTCTGGACAATTTGGTGACCATTATATTTTCAAGTTATTGCAACAAAGATTTTTAATTTCGTAATTTACAGACAAAGTTAATTTTAAAGCAAATAGGTACAACTGAACAATAGACAGGGCATTTATTTAACATTACTATGGTTTTAACTTTATGTATTTATATATCATTGATAAATAGTGGTAATTATTCCTAATGTGTAATATTTCAGTATTATAATGATGTTTAACTAGTCTGTATTTCTGCTTGCACAGTAGAATTGTTGTTTTCTAAATTTTTACTTATTTTGTTATATATTTTTAATACTTTTCTAGGTTAGTACAATAAATCACTATTTAAATATAACATTTTTTTATTTAACTACAATAAAACTACTATTACTTAGGGGTGTTTGAATAGTTTTCGAAATTATTTGGTTGAAAAAGTACACGTGATTTCAGGCAGTCAATCAAAACATTTCCCACTGACAAATTGTGACAATACGCATCAACAAGTTCAACTGACTTCAGCGTCTGCAACTTATGTTTCTGCTTGCTTTACTCTAATTCGTAACGTGTTCGTAACAACTGTCCATAGTCTTTATAATATATTAACAGAAATCTGTTTGTTATTTGGATTCCTTATACCTATTTAACGAGTATGCAAAATGCGAAGTATCCGAAAAAAATATGCCATCACTGGTTTTTAAACTAAAATTAGGGGATACAGTGAAGTGGGTAAAAGTTACGAAATACATCGGTAAGTGTTGTAGTAGTACTGATTATTATATTGTACCAAATTTCTTTATAATTCGATAATTTTAGAATGGTGAGTTATTTAATTGTGTGTATGTTATTTTTGTGATTATTTCTGTAGGCATTTGTTAATTTTTTTGTTTAGAATATTAATTAATAAAACAACTCTTTTTGTCAAAATTCTTTTCATTTAAGTTCCCGATTTCTTAAAAATACTTTTGTTACTGGGTCTACAAAATGGTTTGTAAAAATAAGGTTTCTTTTTAAATTACAAGAATTATGTTTAAATTTTTGACAGGACGGCCATTTCAAGCGCACGAAACGCACGGATTACAAAACTGTTTTTATAAAAAAAAGTTGTAGATTATACCGGGTGTATCTAAGAATAGGCGAACCCCTGTAACTTTTTTATTTATAAAGATAGACACATGAAATTTAGCATGGTTAATTAGGATATAAAATGTCACTTATAACAGTATAAAATGATTTTTTTTAATTTCCGGTTTCGCAGGAAATGATATCAACTTTCGATTTTTAAATGGAACGCCCTATATATTTTTACAAACTTAGAATCCTGAGAAAATTCTGAGTCGGACAGCATTCTCAAATTTACCTTTCGACGTTTGGTCATCAGAAAATGCATCATCATAAATATTAATCTAGAGTGCTTTGAACTATTTGGGATAAACGAATTTTGGCAAGTTTAGACTGCAGGGGATTTCCTCAGGATTCCAAATATGTAAAAATGTATAGGGCATTCCATTTAAAAATGGAAAGTTGGCATCATTTCCGGCGAAACCGGAAGTTCAAAAAATTCATTTTGTACTCTTATAATTGGCATTTTATTTAATAATTGAATGGTGTGGACGGGACAAAAAAAGATTTATCTTGTCCCGTCCCACCTGTCAATTATTGAAATTATCTCTACTTTTATAAAATATTTCTTGCGATTTTTTTATTTAATGTATATCCTAATAAAAGAAAAATATATTTGACAATTTTGATGCAAAAATAATATATAATGAATTACAATTTTTTTTATAAAAACATTTTTTTTATTTGTCCCGTCCGTACGCTTGAAATGGCCGAAGATTTTGTTATTAAATCTACTAAATGTTTGTTATAATTACAAACTACTTATTAAATTAGTTAACAGATTATAGTTAATGTTAAACTTAACATAAAGTTATGTGGACCTGAATTATCATAAAATTTGGTTAATATTTGGTTAAAATTAACAAATATTTTTTTTTACTTTGTAATCTCACGGTTAACAGTGCCGGTTTAACAGGGGTTTTTTGGGGACTATAGCACCGGGCGGTAAATATTTTTGGGGCGGTACCGCCTACCGCCCATAATTTAAAAAAAAAATACTTAATCGTTAGAAAAAAATTATTGCGACACTGCGTCGGCGGATACAACGGATACAAATGAGAAAAATGTTGTTAGAGTTAAAGCAGCTTCTCCATCAGAAAAACTTGATTTATTGGAAACGGAATAATTTGAACTTTTTGGATAGACGTTTTGCAAAGGGTTAATGAAACCAATAAAGCAGTCCAAAAACAAAATATGGATTTAAGCACAAATGCTCATCTTTTGTCATTTTTAGTTGAGAACTTTGATTTTTTACGTGATATCATTTTGATCATTACGAGGAAATTAACAGGAAACGAAAATTATGCTCAGAAGAGGATAATCATAAGAAAATTACAATAAGAAAATAAGGCAAGTTTAAGCAAAAAAGAAACAATGCGAACAATATGTTTTATTTTAATAATTGACAATCTATAATCCGAAATCATTTGTCAATATGATAGCTAGAAATCTGGCACAAACAAATTTGAATTTTTGTTTAATCTAAAAGCATAAATCTTCCTGGAGGATTTGGATGACTTTTTTTCTCAAAAATGTGTCCAACTCAAGAAACTGGTAACTTCCCTTTCGGAAATAAAAATATAAACTCCATTGGAATTAGTATAAGTTTTATACGAAAATAAATTAATATCTTCATTTCCGAATATTAATAATTGTCTGCGAATTTTTTTTTATAATGGTTTCAAATGCAAGTGCACTTGGTTAAAGATCTTTTTCTGCTCAAAAAAGGGTAAAGAACTACCTAAGAAATACAATTCCCCAAGAAAGATTTAACTCCTTAGCAATTCTGTCCCTTTATCAAGACCTGCTAGATGAAATAAATGTAAAGTGTTATAAAACAATTTGCTACTATAAAGACTTGAAAACAACCTTTTAATAATTAATATTAGTATTAGGATTTCTCAATATTTATTTAAACCAAAGAATAATGTTTTATTTATTTATAACTTTTGATTAGTTTTTCTTAGTACTTAGTATTGTTTATATAAACCAAAGAATGTTTTATTTTTTAGTTAGTGCTTTTGATTAGTTTTTATAATTTGTTTATAAAGGCTCATTTTATATTTTATAGGATACTAAGTTTACTGTTAGATACCAGCCTAACCAACCTAATCTTCCACTTGACGTGGGAAAGTAAGACTTAAAAATTTAAAAATGTTTTTAAAAAAGTAATATTTTAAAGCATTGGGCGTTGTGTTTTTGCCAGAACCGGGCGGCGAACTAACTTAAACCGGCACTGACGGTTAAGCCAAACATCAACTTACTAATTTCTAACAGATATTTTAATTCCAGACATGTCAATGAATAGTAATATTAAATTTCCCTTTCAGTAAAATATGTTTAATATGTTTCAAATAAAACTTATTTTTTTTAAATAACGTACTTTCTGCCTTATCTTTTATTCATGAACAGGTTCCAATGCATACTCGTTCTCAATATGTAAACATTTTCTTATACAATTTCGTCCTCTAATTACTTTAAACAAATGACGTGACATCTACTCGGTGTGATGCAATTTTATTGAATAAGATGCAAAATTTTTTTGATTTTTTTCGCCAAGATTTTGCCGATAGACCATGATGTTGCATAATTGCAGGAGAGAGAATGAAGAAAAGATCAAGTTAATGATTTATGCTTTCGAGAATCTAATAACTTATATGTTTGTATATAAGTTATAATATTTACCGTGTACTAAAAAGTTAAACAAACGCCTTATTTAAATTCGTGACTAAATGGCGTTTATTAAACTTGATACATAATATACTTTAAAATATCATTATATTATTTTTATTAATTCTTTTTAATTAAAATTGTAATTGATTAATACCTTTGCCGGAAAATATCTAAGTATAAATTACTTATTCTTTAAAATTCAAATAAATTATTTATTATACTAAATTGTATGTAAAAACCGTTTACGAATGTAAAATATATAATAATTCAAACTATTTTATGTAATTCAGTGATTTATATTAATCCCAGCTGGATTAATTCGTGATATTATAAATTTCCTTGGGGTATAACCTTTCTTTGAATGAATTTATATATATAGTTAATATTCCGTAATTTAGTAAACCCACGTTAAGTTAAAAATGGATTAGAAAAAGTTTCAAGGATTTAACAAAAGTTAAATGCACAATTAATTTTTACAAATAGCTAAATGAGTTTCATATCAACAGACAGCAAAACTTTATGCACTGACCCCATATTCGAAAATGTCAATATTATTCACAGCGTGTGATTAAACTTTTGAAAAAATTATTCCGATACAAAAGCTAAATAATAAATTGGTAAAGTGTCGAATGTATGCATTAAAAGTAACAATAGTAATTACAATCGGAATAAAAATTGTCTATTATAATTACAGAGCAGTGGTATATGAAAATGCAGATAAACGTACCTATTGTGTAAAATTTATCGACCTATTTTCAGGAGCGTAATAAAATGTTTTACTTCAAGCACTTATATAAAACAAACATGTCAATAATCGATGATGACCAGTACTGAATAAAATTTAGCGTTTTAAACATTGTATTTTATTTTTGCGTTTTAAAAATGGGGCGCCCCTGTGTGCCCCCCCTGACATGTCTATCTAGATATAGAGTTGAATTAGTTAACTGTATTGTATGCGACTAAATTTATTATAAGTTAAAGTAGACCCGAGATATAAATACAATGTAAGCAATTGCAAATATAGTATTATATTTTTTTGCATTATTTGTGTGGAAATTTTTTTATATATTGTTATTTTACTTTTAAATCCTTCTCTGCAATCTAACAAAAATATATCCACATTTCCATTCAGTTGGGTTTAATAATTTTTCAGAGCGATGTAAAAAATCGACAGGGCCTTGAAAGAGGAACAACAGTGAAGGAGTATTTCAGAATTGCAATATAAATAGCAAGAATACGGGGATATACCCCCAGTAACACCGTTTAATAGTTGTTGTATAGTGCATCTTAGTAGATATTACATTATGGCTTTTGTATACGTAAGTTGCAAGTGTTTTTGAATTACTTGGGCTAGTATTGGTGTTAAATTATATGGAAAAAAGATTTAATACTAAAAAAATAGTTACTATGTTAAAAAGTTAAACCATAAACTTGTAGAAATAAATATACCTACGTATGTATAAAATCAAAA